TCTACAGCTACGGATGCATCCATATGCCAATTGCACCTTTTTTCTTTTACAAAAGAATAATATATTCATTTTTATGTGGTTTCCAAAAATTTAGATTAAAATAATCTTCCTAAATAAATATTTTACAAGAGGGAGTAGCATATAATATTAGTATAAGTGCTCATTTATGGAAAGAAAATTGTTTCGCAGCCCGCTCGATCACAAACGTCTATCTTTAAGACAAACCTCCACAACTAAAGATTACTATCCAATGGATAGAAAATATTTTTAACAAAAATATTTTAAAATTTTATTTTATTTTTTATATTCATGATCATCATAGTGTGGATCATGGATCTCTACAATTTGGATCCAAGACCTACATCAAAAATAGCCCGCATGAGAATAGTATGAGTAAGGGGACTCGTAAAATCCGGGTCCTCAATGAAATTGAGCGTCGCCAAAAGCCTTGAACGTATCGCCCGCCAAGTTACACAATTGCATGCTTGCCATTCTCCTACCCCTCACCCCAAAATATCAGAAATAGCATCGATGCATCTCATCTCAATGAACGGCTCAGATCACATTTGTTCTCACAATCTCGGCACTTCTGAGCCAGCTGGGCAAAGTAGAAATGTTTTGGCCATGGTAGGGGTGAGGTAGCAGAGTGTCCCATTATAATAAAACTTTGGGTTGCATTTGCTTGCGCTACTAAGATTCAGTGATTGCGCGCTGTCACACGTTCACAAGCATAAGGAGGCTGCAGCAAGAGAGAGAGGGCGCCATGCAGCAGCACATCCTCCACCATCCTATGGCTTCCTCCTCACTTTCGCTCTCTAACTCTCAACCGCTCAAGAAGCATTACTCACCGCCTCTTTCTAATCCAGGCAAGTTCCATTATTTTTTTCTCTCCTCTCGAATTTGTGCTCCTCTCTCTCTTCGGATCTGGGGATCGATTTCAGAGCATCTCCTGAATTTTGTGTGAGATGATTCGTGGGTAGGATTTTGGGACTGCGGGTTCATTCATTTTGGATTAGAAAATTGATTTCTGTTTTTTTGAAAAATTGACTGTGTTATTTATTTATTTATTACTGCATGAAATTTGCTGATTCTATCCCGTTCTTCTATTGGATTAGAAAAGGATTGATTTCATGAAATTCTTAAAATTCAAAAGGTTTGATTTCAGGACATTGTTGTCATAGGATTAATGCTGCTTGTGGTGTGATGATTTCGTGGGTAGGAGAGGTTGGGATGAGTGGTTTCATTTTGGATCGTTTGTTTGTGTGGTTTTCAGCTTTTACTTTAATTTGGGTGAGAAAGGATTGATTTCATGGCATTTACTATCCTGTAAAGGTCCTGTGCGATTTGATGATTTTATAATAGGTAGGAGAGTGTCGAGGAATGTAGTAAGATGTGAAGCTCCAAAGAGAGAGAAAGATCCAAAGAAGAGAGTGGTGATAACGGGGATGGGGCTTGTGTCGGTGTTTGGAAACGATGTGGATGCATACTACGGTAAGTTGTTGGAGGGGCAGAGTGGGATTGGCCCCATTGACAGATTTGATGCCTCCAAATTCCCGACCAGGTTCGGGGGGCAGATTCGTGGGTTCACCGCTGATGGGTACATTGATGGGAAGAACGACCGCCGCCTTGATGATTGCTTGCGCTATTGCATTGTGAGTGGCAAGAAGGCCCTTGAGAATGCTGGCCTCCCAATCGTCAATCTCAGCAAGGTAATAATATGCACGCATGCTTGGCTTCTTCTCTCTCTTTTGCTCTTGACGGTTCTTCTCTTTCTGTTCCTTTTTTTTCTCTCTCTCTCTGGCAGTACCTCCTTTTTTCTCATGTTTCTCTTATTGCTTACCAACATTTTTACTTTGCCCTTCTCCATTGGAGATCCAATACATCCATGTGCCTTTTGTGATTCCCAATATGAATCTGGCCTTCTGTTTGTACATTGATGTAGGTTTACTTACCTGAGAAACATCAAAGTAAGTCATATTTATTCTGCATAATGAATTAATGACATTCTTAACTTCTCGCCTTTGACTATTCTGTTGGTTCTTAAATGTTAATACTTTTTTGGTTCTTGTTAGTTTTGCAGATTGTATTATTTTTGGTATGTTGTCATCAAATGATGTTCTGCTGCTTTAATGGTTATGTTTGGATAACATGAGCCTTCTATTGCTAACAGTTGTTCTATTTAGCAGTTCTATTTAGCAATGCATGATGTTAATCCAAATTCCCTCTATTTGATGATTGTGGGGTGTAAATATTGTTTATTTCATGTTTACCGGTCTTTTTATCGTCATGTTTATTATTATGAGTGGATAATCAAGAAGACTCTTAGTTGGAATATCATGCGGTGGTTTGCCTCAATCAATCATCTCATTATGCATCAGTTCCTGTAGCAAAATAGTCACCGCAGGAGCCTTTGTGAAGGGGTAGCTTTTTGAAATGTTCAATTCAAAATATCCAAAATGTTTATGCCTTTTGTCTTCCTTGATACTGGTAACATGCACCTCTAATAGTTTATGGACATATTTATGTTGGTTCTTTTTCATTGCTCTCATGAGGCCCTTAAATTCCCTTTCCGATGAAATTTTCTTTTTTTGTTTCGTGCGAGATGGATGCCAAGTTAAGTGCTTACCACTTAGAAAATTCTTAGCAACTCTCTTTTTATTTTTTATTATTTTTTTTGAGCAAGTGTTAACGAAAATTCTAAGCATTTATTGAGGGAATGAATGACTTTCGGCATTCAATTTCTGTCAACGCTGCAAATCCATTGTAGTCTATCCCAGTATCTCAGAACTCGTGATTGGCAAGGTCCTAAGCCATGTCTACTAAGTTAGTTTTGAATGGGTATTCATTGTTTCCTTTTAAAAGCTACAAGATTTATAAGTAAAAAAAAAAAGTTTGTACATTGCTTGGCTTTCTGAAAATTTATTTACATACCCAAGTGTAACTTCTGATGATCTATTATGGTTCCATTAAATATCAAGACAGAACAAGTAAACAATATGCTCATATGTAGGTAGACCCCACCCTGCCTACACCCATATGTGCCAACTTCTTTGCTTGGGAGTTATTTTCCTTGGGAATATGAAAATCTTCTAGTAATACAAAATTCTAATGGTAAATCTTGCAATTCCTTTGATAACCCTACCAGCTTCCATGGACCTAGAGGAATTTCGTTTTAGGCCTTCAATCATTATAGAGCATTTTAGGGGTCATCCATTTACCCCCCCAAAAAGAAAAAACGGAAAAAAAAAGAAAAAAAGAAAAGAAAGAAGAGGATAAATTTAAGGAATATTCCCATAGGATGCTTGTGTTTGTAAAATGGTGTCAAAATGTGAATGCCCATCAAATGTCAACTTCCTCTAACTAATTAAATATGCTCTTCCAAGTGCACCTGCATAGAACTTCATGACCATGAGTTTCACATCAAAGCCCTCTGAGCTTGTGTTTCCTTAATCACACTTCTCAACTATCCCAAGTACCCTTTGAGAGGGAGGACTGCCCTCTACTTGTGCTTTCCTCCTTGTTTAATATATACAAATGATTCTTGCCTATGACCCTCAAATGACGCACTATCTTAACCATATCCATTGACATCCTCAGCAAAATCATTTGATTGCCAGTTATAAACGAGCCAATTGTCATATAGTTGAATCTTTTTGGTCAGTTTGGCCAGCATGTATTAATCTATTCTGGTAGAAAATTTTATTATTTTATTCCTTCCATGTTCTCCAAATGTGACCAACATTTTTATTTCCTAGCATTCAAATTTCTTCCCTCTCACACCTGATAAAATGAATAACAGTATGAGGCATCACATGTTCCACACTTAGCATACCTCTTTTTTTTTTTTGCTTAATAACCACATACTGAATAGGGGCCAAACATTAAATTGTACTTGAAAGTACGCCTCTGCACACCCTGTTAAATCCTTGCCCATGCTGCTGATGCTCTTCCATTTTTGCTATTTCCTCATTGTCTTAACTACTGATTCAACTTCACGAGTCAGTCTATTTCCTCCAATCTTCACAAGCCACATTCCATCTCCTTGAGGTGCCAATGCGACTTATGTCAATAGGTTTTATTGGATTTGTACACCTTTATGATTTCTTTTTTCTTTTTTTTTGATATTTATCTGGATTTTAGACCTTTTTCTAAATGAACATTAAGCTGGATTGAACCTTGAATATTGTGCTTTGGCGATTCGACCTTGAATGCCCCTGCGACTTAGCAAAGAACCTTAACCTTTTTGAATCCAAACTCACAGTTTTATTGGTTGGCACACAACATACCTATTTACCAACTACAATCTATGCGCGTCACTAAGGCTTCTTACCTCATGAAGTCTGTTGAGATGCACTCCAATTTTGCGAAAATGCTCTTCAGCAATTGGAAAAGCGACATAGTGGAACTTGTGATATTGGGGAGGGTGTCCTTTGTAAGCATAATCATGTTTCCCAGTGTAAGAAATTAGATATCAAAGAGGCTGGTCTTCTTTTAAAATTCATTCAATCATCCCAAAGGCTTGTATTAGTCTAACCTATGTGGAGGAAAAGCCTTATCCCAACTATTAGGGGTCAGCTACACGAAACGTCTTCCTCCATTCCATGCTATCAAGGGCCATACCTCAGTCCGACTGTGAGAATTGCTTGTAAGGGAAGCCCTCTTCTTCGAGCCAATACCTGATATTGACCTCTTAGTAGTTGACTATAACCTCTGAACTACATATTGAACATTTGATTTGGTGTTAGCATGCCACATTGTGAAATATAGGGATGTTGTTGTGAAATATGGTATCAACATGTCATATTGTGAAATATGGAGATGTTAGGATTCGAGGTTGGGCTTGATTGATTAAGGTGTTGACAATTGCATCACCAGGACCAATTTGATTCCTTTTGCTGAACTGCTCAATAACAGTGATTCAAAAAATGGCCCACCCAGTGCCTGGGTAGGCCTGGGCGGGCCATTTAGGCGCCAAGTAGGCAGGCTCCCAGCGAATGTTCGAAAAACTCGAGGCGGGTGCCTAGGCAGCCATGACTGGGTGCCCAGATACTAGGGCGTCCTAAGGTGTTTTGGGAGGGAATCTGTTTATAACATATATGTGTGTGTGTGTGCGCGTGCGCGTGCGTGCATGTGCGTGTGCGTGTGCGTGTGCGTGTGCGTGTGCGTGTGCGTGTGCGTATGTGTGTGTGTGCACGTGCGTGCATGTGCATGTGCGTGCATGTGCATGTGCGTGTGCGTGTGTGTGTGCATGTGTGTGTGAGAGAGAGGTCTCACATTGACCATTTGGAGGACATATACTTATTTTTCTTCATTTTATATGTAGAGAGAGATAGAACATGAGTCCGTGAGAGAGGGGTGCCTCACATCGAACACTTGGAGGTCATCTTCTACTTTTTCTTCTTCTTGTAGAGAGTGAGAGCTTATAGGTCCATGGGTGTTTGTGTGTGTGTGTGTGAGAGAGAGAGAGGCGTCACATTGTACACCTAGGAAGGCCCTAAGCACATAGGGGTTTCTACCCCTCCCCCCAATTGTACATGTGTGTTTTAGGGGGGGGGGGAAAGTACTTTATTGCCCTCGGCCAAGTTGCATCTAGGCGCTTCCTAGTAGCATGTTCACCTAGGGCACCCTCCTAGGGTATGCTTAGACGTTCTAGGCAGCTAGGTAGTTGACATTTTGAACAATGCACTCAGTGCCTAGCCCTAGGAGGGGGCGCCTAGGGTGAGACCCAAAAAAAGTAAAAAAAAACAAATTTTATTTTGAATTTGATCGGATTGAGCTTTAAATTTGAAGTTTCTTAAAATTGATCCAAACATCATCCTTTTGTTTTGGATTTGATTTTATCTATTTTGGAAGCTTATGAGATTGGCAAACATCTCAAAAATTGAAGATTGAAGATCATGCATAAAGGTTAGTGAAGAATCTTCGTACTTGTAATTTTATTTGTTGTTTTAATGTCTTCCTCTATTTCTTCTAGAAGTAGTGATCTGGGTTGGGAATATGGTTATAACCCTAATCAAAGGATAAACTTATATAAGGTGTAATTATTGTAAAAAAGATGCTAATGGGATTATAAACTGGTTCAAGTTGCCGGTGTTAGGGGGGATGTTGCCCCTCGTAAGAAGGCTCCTAATGCCATTGTGGACGAGATTAAACATCATTTGAATTCGGTAAAACAATGAAGGGCATAAAAGGAGGCCTAAGGGCTGGGGTTCTTGTATTTGATGATGAGCGTAAGGATGAGGAGGAACATGAGGTGGCTTTGTCTTAGTCTAGGAGTGGAAAGGGAGTTCTCATTGGGTATGGGCCTAAGAAGCCTCAGGTGATGGGGCCTATGGATTTTTTCCCACCCTAACCCTAAGGTTACAGTCGAGAAAACAAAGAAGCAGATCAATACTGAAAATTGATTCAGAAGGAAGAGCGAAACTGAGTAAATCAGTACATTTAATATTTTATGATACATGATTGTCAATTTGTCATATACTTGTAAATCAGTACATTTAATATTTTATGATACATTATTGTCAATTTGGATTTGGCATGATTCCACATAAAGATGTATAAAAGAATGCCTGAATGTGCACTTTTTGTATAAAAATTCCCCTAAAACAGGATTCCTGGACAACCCCTCCCCCCTTTTGAACTTGGACACCGCCGGGCATTTTTTGAACCACTGCTACTCAATGTGGGGAAAAAAAAGCATAAAAATAATATGGGGATATCCTTGGCAAATTGAAGAAAGAGACATTGATACTTTTAAGTATATGCCGCCTAATGTGCAGACATATTGGATGTCCTATCAATCAAACAATTGAAAGCTTTGGCCATGGTTGTGGAAAGGATATGCATTTATGTCTTGTTTCCTAAAAGACCAATATAACGTGAGTGTGAGTTATATCGACTGATCCCTAAGGGATTAGGATTGTGTTCTCCTCATATGGGACTGGGATCCACCCAAGGTCCTGGTTCGGGAGCATGAATTGCCGGGATGACCACCATGTTGGGAGATCCTGGTAACTATGAAGTTTTTAGCCGAACCTCATTTCCTACCCAAGATCTGCAAATCTGAGACTTTGAGTTAGCTTTCTGAAATCTAAGCTCTGGATTTGATAGTGAAGACAAAATAGGCTAGGGGACAAATTTTCAGTGTGATTGAGCTAGGATTACAAAAATAAGCAAGAAAACAACTTTTAGGCCATACCATAGTTTAAAAAACCAAATCTTGCAAATCTGAGATTTTAAAATTTTTGTTTTTGCTAAATTTGATGTTTGGATTCAATAGAGGATGGAGAAATATGTCTAGAAGTGAATTTTGAGGGAGATCCGAGCTCGTACAATGAAAATGGAAGAAAGGGGTTCAGATTTCTGCTGGCCCAACCCCCACTCTCCTCACCGACTTGGAGAGTTTTTATTAACTCACCCAAATCTAACAGGTACTTGCATGTGTTACTGTAACAACTCGGAGGAGTACTGCTACAGTATACCCCCCAATGAGCTTTGGAGTCTGAGTAATTCAATTGGAGTCATAAACTGCAGAGTACCATTTTAGCTCATGAACTTTTGCCCAAGTCCAAGTTGGGCTCGGTGAGTTTCTGAAAACTGGGTTTACATGTAGCCTGAAGATATTTAAAAATGCTATCTCGTATCTCATGCCACTATTTCCTCTGCATATAAATGATGGAAATAACTTTCGTTTTATGACCTTGTTCAATTTTGTATATGTAGAATTAACTTTTAGTATCTGAGGTGAGAATGCTAGGCACAATCTCTTCGCTCCAAGTATTCTCTTGAACAAGCATCATAATCTATCTGGTTACCTGCATATTGGATGTAATATTTTGATGCTTAGCTAACTTGCCTAGGCTATCTTCAGTTGGTTCAGTGCATGTTTTAAATTTTTGTAATATTGGTTTTCTAATATTCTGTTGAGGTGTTTTTGTTCCTCAGTTTCAACATAGCTATCTTTTCTCTTTTCGTTCTTCTGACTGATGCAGCTTTTGGAGCCTATCTGTTGCAAATGATTTTGTTCTGTTATTTTACTGTCTTGTACCTACAGATTGACAAGGAGCGGGCTGGTGTTCTTGTTGGGACTGGTATGGGCGGTCTGACAGTCTTTTCAGAGGGTGTTCAGGCACTTATAGAGAAAGGCCCCAGGCGCATAACTCCATTCTTCATTCCTTATGCCATCACTAATATGGGCTCTGCATTGCTTGCAATTGAGCTTGGTTTTATGGGCCCGAACTATTCAATATCCACTGCTTGTGCCACATCCAACTATTGTTTTTATGCTGCTGCTAACCATATCCGTCGAGGTGAAGCTGACTTGATGATTGCTGGTGGGACGGAAGCTGCAATTATTCCCATTGGTTTGGGAGGATTTGTTGCTTGTAGAGCTCTATCACAAAGAAATGATGACCCTCAAACTGCTTCAAGGCCATGGGATAAGGATCGAGATGGTTTTGTTATGGGTGAAGGTGCTGGAGTATTGGTAAGTGCTGCCAAACTGGATGACTTTTCTTACTTTGGAATCTCGAGAAATTTATGGAATTTAGGGTTAAAAAATCTTAAGGTCCTTCATTCATATGCTCTTCATTGTCTTTGATGGTTGATTCTGTTTCATAGCTGTATGTTCCAAGAAGTTATTTTAATACTTCACATGATAAAATTTATCACAATGGGAAAAATTTGACATGATAGGTGATGGAGAGTTTGGAACATGCAATGAAGCGTGATGCACCAATTATTGCTGAGTACTTAGGAGGTGCAGTTAATTGTGATGCTTATCACATGACTGATCCAAGAGGAGATGGACTTGGTGTTTCCACTTGCATTGAGAGAAGTCTTGAGGATGCTGGTGTGGCTCCCGAAGAGGTACCCTCTCAGGCATACTTTAACTGATATTAAATTTTGGTGATTCGCTCATTTGACATTTCCGCTTCTTGGCTAGCAATCTACATTTGTGTTTTTGCTGGGTTTGAAAATTTAAAATTTATTTATTGTTTCTTAAACTTATCATTATGCTTTAACTATATCTACACCTTCTGTTGATATTAAATTTTGGTGATTCGCTAATTTGACATTAGTGTTTTAGATGGGTTTTAAATTTTAATTTGTTTATATTGTTTCTTAAACTTATCATTCTTTTTAATGTTTTAGTTATTCTGTCACTGCATTGCCGCAGCCTCTTAAATTGGTTGGATTCGTGCTCGTTGGCATGAAACTATATGAAATCAAGCATTGTGACTTTGAGACGATTACTGTTTGTAGGCATCTCCATCCAAATGCATGCAAAATTTATGCTACTACTACCCTGCTGACTAAATAATTTAAACTGCTTCCTGGAGGACACTCTTCTATAGACACTGTTAAATTGCAGTTGTGATGTTATTGAAAAACATTTATCATTTAGAAATCTGTACCGTAGTAATATAACTCCAAAGACAGAGCCTGAAATCCTGAGGAACTTCTGATTCTACTCACATATTATTTTAATTGCCCATTGATGTAGGCCCAGTTGTTCTGGGGCTCAAGAATACTTTTCTCTGATTTAGCCCAATGAACTGGTCTTTTGATAGATAAAGCTCAATCAATAAATTTTTGAAAAATGGAAGCCTCCCCTTGATGATTTTATGATGGCAGCCAGGGTCTTAAGGAACATGTTATGAGGGTCATTCCCGTAACATGGATCATTTTAAGCTATTCATAATGGTTTTTGTGTTAATCAGTGCTCCCACTACATTTTAGTGGTCCTTGAACAACACTGACAAATTCATAGTGTATTTCGATCACATTAGAAATGTAGTCAGATTAAAAAGGGCCGTAACCCGGTGCTGGTCCCACCTAAGCAGGGTCCCGGGAGGGGTGGGCTGGAAACGGTCCTAACCTTAGGCTTATGCACAAAGTGGCCGCTCTCAGGACTCGAACCCGCGCTTTTGTGCTGGCTAATCAAGCCTTTTACCTTCACACCAAGCGATAGCCCCTTCGTAGTAAAACTCTAAAAAGTTAGAACATCCTCAACTTTGGTGCCCTAAGAGAGAATAACTTGTGGTTAAGTAACATTGTTGCTTATTTAAATGAGGTCAGGGTGGGGGATTTCAGCTCAATGAGGGATGTGATAGGGGGGAAATTAGGGGAATAGAAGAGGGGAGATGGAGATGCCACTAACTGGGGTGAGTTGTGGTCCTTTATCTGGAGAAGTGAGGATTCTTGTTGGGAAGTTAAGTGATTGCATAAAATGCTTCAGGCTTATGATAAACTTTTGTCAATAATGGAAATAAAAGTATGACATTTGTACGATTACTTTCGTGGAGATGCCACCAACCGGAGATGGAAATAAAAATATAATAAAAGTATGGCATTTTTTAAATTACTTTCATGGATATTTTATTTGCTATGGAATCTATCATTAACTGCAATGTGCAACTTGTGTTTCTAGGAAATGGATACATGTGCCTGTGTTTGGCAGGGACATATGTGCTTTGCACGACTCCTCAAACGAGGATGTTGAACACAACATCTCCATACCATGCTGAAGGTGTCAGCATGTGAGCCTCTTTTTGGAGGATTACACACTTGTAGCTCACATATAGGTGGGGATGTGCTGATTTTCTGAACTGGATTGCAAATAATTTCTCTGTTTTGCTGAACTTTACTTGTTTTTTTTAAAAGATATATTTGATCTCTCAGAACAAAGGGCAAGAAAAAGACTTGTAACAAGTATTTAGTTTCATTTCATTGCCAATCTGGAAATACATCTATCTCAACCACGCCACATGAAAGCTGCAACATGCAATAGAGTAACAACCTTTAGATTAGGAAGTTGAAATGATTTATATCCCAACTGATACTGCCATCAATTGTTTTAGGATTAGACCTGCTTCCGTCTTCCTCCTAAGCAAGGTTATCAAATGCGGGATGCAGACTCAATGCCTTGGGGGGTCCATTATGCTATGCACCTTGATGTGTCCTGGATGCAAGCACATCATTTCCAATGCAGTCAATAAATTTTTAAAAAATTAAAAATTATAAAATATATAGTAATATAAGGAATAACGTGAATATGTGACTTATGTGATAGACAGTTTAAATTTAGTATTTGTCTCTAACATATCCAATGTCGAGTTTCCAATAGCTTGATGAAGAGTAGCAAGGATATTTTTTCTCTATTTTCTAATGCAATTAACATGTAGAGGTTACATATTCTACCAAGTTATGAATCATGCGCTTAAATATAAGGGCAGCTAAGTAGTAGCTTATAGCCAAACCTAAAATGCCAAATACTAAAGAGTCTAATCGTCTAAAAGTACTTCACTAGTACATAGCATCCAAAGGCCAAACGTTCATGCCATAATATGTAAATAATCCAACCTAGCACAAAAATTATCTTGAACTTTCACCCATAGAATGACCAAACTACTCCTGCTCATTGGTATTATTCTACCCACAAGTAGGCTCCCACATGTGTGGGCCATCACGTTGAGTGATGCGCCTGCATATGCAAGTGCATCATGCTGGCCCGCAGGTGGGCATATGTAGTGTGCCCAAGGCCGCTTTTGCTTTCAAGCTGGCTCATAAAGCATTATGCTACCGCATTTGATAGCTATGCATTTGATAGCTATGCTCCAAGGTTGAAGATGGTGAATTCCAATTCCAACCCCAAAGTTCTGGTTTTTTATATGCCAAATTAACCATATGTCTTATAACGGAGTGTACTAGGACTCTTAGGAACTCCGACTCCTTAACCGCTAAGGAGTCGGAGTTCATACACCCTTAGGAGCTCCCAGTGCCAAACGTCATCATCATCAAAGCCTTTCCCAACTAGTTGGGATTGGTTCTATGAATCCTGGTCCGCCATTCTTCTCTATTAAGGGCCATACCTTCAATGAGGTCATACGTCCACATATATTTTCTCACTATTTCCATCCATGTCCTTTTGGGGCTACTTTACCCCTTGCGCTTTTTGACATACAACATGGATATATGCATTTGTGATCAAGGGTTTCTCATGTCTGGAAAGCTAGATTCTTGGTCAAGTACATGTACAAGTTTCAATAAAAACTTCCCCATATTCCTATATGTTACATCTTAAATAAAATATTTTAATAATTTAGATAGTTTGGAAAATAATTTCATAAAAACTAAATAATTTATATATTCCCTTGGTGTTAAAAGAAACTTCAGTTACCATTTTTGCTCAAACTTTTGAAGTGTACCCTTTTTCAAATTTTTTTTGGTGTGCCTAAGGTAGAGGATGTGACCTCCTGGGTGATGTGTATTTACAGTTTACTAAGCGTATAACTCACTTAAAAAATACTCAACAAACTCACGTATTAAATGATCACTAAGTTCATATTTAGGGGTGTCTTCCTTAGTCTGCTGTATACTTAGTCGATCTTATATAGTATGTGAGTGGTCAGGAAAAATTATTTATTTGAAAAGTTGCCTACAAATTGTGATTGCGGTAAGAATCAAGGTTGGGCTAGACCTATGTCTTTGCTACTCACGAACTTGTGATACAGTTCCTTTTTTTGGGTGAATACCGGTCTTTATTCATGATATAGTAGGTATTTGAATTAGGACACCAAACCATAGTCCAGTAAACATGCTTGCATTCAGAAGCTAGATAGGGCTTCTCCATTTGGGCAATTTTGGTACATGGGCAAACCAGGCTATCCCATACTAGTTTTCTAGGTTTGGAATTATCTTTCCTAAGGACAGCTCGAGGATGGCCGACCCCAAATAGTTGGGATAAGGCTTGGATGATGATGATTATGATGGAAAACTCGATGATGGCCATGTATTAATCATCAGATGCATCTCCACCATCACTAAGGTAACCGATGTTTTGCTGATCTTCAACAACGCCTTCTCTAGGTAGAACTTCTCAATGGAGCTATTAAGAACACAACACATCCTCAACGCATCTATTTTATTGTGTTTAAGGGGGAACAGGTCTCCTAGTCAAATATATGTTTGACACAAAAACGCTTGAAACACACTTGGAGATATTGGCTGACATTTCACTGAGTGTGTCTAAAGTGTTGTCATGTGTGTTGGATATGTTTTTAGTGTTAGGCACATTTAAATGTGTCCAAGATATGCGTCTTTATTGCATGTATTAATAAGCAAATGACACTTTATTGCATGTATCAATAAGCAAATGACACTTTATTGCATGTATTAATAAGCAAATGACACTTCTGAAAGCGAGAAACATATCTCTGAAGGGCTTCACTCAGCTCTAGGACACCAATAGAGCAGCCAGGTACATATGCATCTACAACCGTACCTCCCAATCCACCTCTTTTGCGTCTCGAATCTTTGACTTGGGTCACTGATCATATGACCGGTAAGGAATTTGTTTTTTTTTTTGGATCATTTTCACCTATCGTTATGAAGTTAAACTTGCTGATGGATCTATGGCTAATGCCTCTAGAAGCATAACACATTAGCTTTCATCATACTTGTCCTTATCCTGTGTGATATATGTGCCTACTTTTCCTTCCAATCTTCTCTATGTTAACATAAATCTGCATAAAAAGCTAAGTCTTGTCAAAGCCCAAGTAGTTTAGAGCCCTTTTTGCGTTTGCCCAAAAGCTAGGACCGAGTGCAAAGCAACATCGAGCTAGTGCTTTGCAACAACAAAAAGCTAGCAAGTGTAGGCTCGAAAGCAAGAAGCAACGGCTAGTGCAAAAGCCGTAAATCTGCATTTTTATGTTTTCTCAAGAAAGCTTTTCAAAAAGACTTCTTCCCTATGACTTTATTGAAATTCCATTCTCTTCATTGGTTCAATATCTTTGTTTAGAGATAATCACATTAAAAGCATGACTCAATTAAGAATCTTGATTTAACAAAAAATTCCATAAATTTTT